GGGGGGGGGGGGGGGGTGTCTCGTTACCTGGAACACTTATGTAACTTTCCAAGGTGAGATCTCAGAACACTATTTACATAACAGTCGCACAATATTACACCGAACAACTTTAGTCCGGCATAGGCCACACAAACCGCAAAATTTCGTATCCAAATGTTATTTACCTGTTCTGTAACCCGAGCGTCAGGCCCTATTCTTGACAGTTGAAAATTTACATTTTGTAATGCAAAAAGAAAAATACTTACAAACATGGATCTTATTTAAAATCTTCCAGATTTTCTCATTCCGTAAAAGTGATTAACAAATTGTACAAAAATACACACAGGCACAGACAATGTACAAGTGGGCACGCTGGTTTGGTGCGTTGTGCGATTACAGGCTTTACCCTTATATCGAAATTGAAGTTAATCTTTCTAAAATTATTCTAGATATGAAACAGACACTGGTTCGACCTTTCTCTGAAAATTGGTATTAATTTGTTGAAACTATTACTGTTCGCTCCCGCCCTCGTGATAACAAAATACTTTTGCTGGACGTATACAAAATTATTTCATAATTATTTCATAATAAATGTTATATCTAAACTCTCAAATCGCCAATATAAAGAATAAGACCATTAAATTATTGAACTTTGTATATACCTTTGTACTGTTTCAGTGACTAATGTAACGTCGCGCCCTGCAGGGTTTGGTTTGTTTTTGTTGTATTTTATTTAAGATACTATACACATCTAAGGTTATTTAAGGATGTGCCTCTCTGTGTTTTGTATATGTACTTGCGTTTATGTGTACAGGAGGCAAGGTATATTGGTGTATTGCCTTCTTGTGATAACGCGAATCTGATGTCAACATTTAAGTGTATCTCAATGCAATATCATTTCAAGCGCAGCCATCCGCCCTGTCACATAATACTGACAACGTCAAATATGCTGCGCGGAACATTATTATCACCCCTGCTCTGTGAACAAGTCCTCGCGATGAAAACGCGCTTGCTGTGAATATTTTTCATGTAGATTGATTTAGAAGTTTTATTTTAAGGGTATCATTGTAAATATCGGATGGTATGAGGGAAAGGGAGTTCCGCACAGGGATATGTCGTCTTGCACACCCAGGGGCCAAACCCCGGTTGAAGTTACGGTCGGGGGGACGGCCTATATCTAACTACTATGGTCGAGAGCGTGTCACATACATGTTCATGAAAGCTAAATTACACACACAGATGTTTCGGCTTGTAGGCCTAGCTAAAATCATTTGCAAATTACATTCTCGGCATTACTTTATATCTCCATGTCTTTAGTGTAACCTTACCGGGATGTTACGTAACCTTGCACTGATAGAATAAGAAAAGGGTAACTTAGATCTCAATTACGTGTTTGGTTTGGTTTGGTTTAGTATTTTTTAACGTCCTATCAACAGCTGTGGTTATTTAAGGACGGCCTTCCCTGTGTACAAGATGCATGCGTGGAGTGTATTATATTCGACTCTATACTTTCAGTTGAAATGTATAAAGAAACTAATACATTCCGAGACCATTACATTCGGCTGTGCCAGTAAATGAAGTGAAAATGGGTCTCAAATAAAACTGAATGACTTTATGTTATTGTAATTGTACTGTTTAACGACCCATCGACAATTTGAGTCATTTAGGACCAAACAACAATGTAAAATATAGATATTCACGAAAAAAGAATTAATACGACCGAACCTTTCCGAAAGTCATATTTCTTCAGACATCTTTTTCATTCACTGTAGATGTGTACCAGACAGCCTCTCCGTCATTGGCCTAGTTCTGGTATTACTTACCTGACTTAGGGAAGGTGCAAATAAACACATCGTCAGATCGGACTTTGAATGTTTCCACCATTCGGAGCTGATCTTCAACATTACCGACAGTTTGCATGTGGAATGATCTTCCTTTGTATTTCTTGTATTTTATCTTGTTTCCTTCCTTGTCTGTAGTATTAACGACCTCCATGTTGTTAAGTATGATACACTATATAAAGTTTCCTGTTCTGTTACTCCCTATAACCTTACACACATGAAAGTGTGCCTGTGATTGACCTTGACAGTTAATAGAATGCTATACCTGATATCCGACCTGAATACATATATTTAGATGTGTATGTTATAACGTAAATCCTCAATGCAACATTGTTATTCGTCAAAAAGATGATATCGTAATGACTCATTTTGGAGAAGCTAGTATAGAACGTCTATATGTGTGCCGGAGATCACATTACACCAATCAGTTAACCAGTCTTTATCACTTCCTTTTCAAAGCTTGGGTTTAACTCAGTACACGGACACAGCGTTTGTTTAGGCAAAATTCCAAAGTATAACGACGCAAAAAAGCGATTAAAAATAAATAAAAAAACGTGTTTGTGTACGAAGTATTTTTACAAGATACAAGGCTCACCTAATCACGAATGTTTCTACATCAGAACTCGTTCTGTGTACATTACAGGTATACACAATCGCTTTCAAACACGCTTACAGAAAATTTCAATAGCTTACTAATTCGTACATCTACATGTTCACATAAACTCGGTGGTTCAAAATTTGTTATTATCACGATGTCAAAGCAAGCGCATACATGATATGAACGAACCTGAGTTGCATATTTTTGTTTACCCAATTCGGCATCAATTATCTTGGAAGTGGGTTATTATACATGTAGTAACCCACTGCCGGTGTTTACACATTAATGATGTGATCGCGTAGAATACTATGGTATGTGCCTTCTAGATGGCATTTCAGTGAGCCAGCACTTTGTATGAGATCCGTGCTGAAAAAAAATATTGAAAAAAGACGCAAAAGATTTGCTTAACCTTACATTTTCTTTTAATCAACAAAGCCTAATCGCGGAGTTGAAACAGTTACAGAAACGACAGTAACTACTTATGAAACCATTCCCGAACCCGCGTCGGACTCTCGCGGTCAACAAGAAGCCGATGGCAGTGGACTGAAGTAGCGATAGTATTCTTTATGTCCCTTCTGAATTAATATCAGTTTGAAAGTGAAAAGATTACAACGGAAGTTTGAGTCATCCGACAAAGACTGGTTCTGAAATAACTGAGTAGAAAGTCTTTGTCTATGGAACATTTTTTATATATAGATTGCTTTGGTATTGTTTAACGTCCTATCAACAGCTATGGTCATTTAAGGACGGCCTCCCCTGTGTGCAAGTTGCATGCGTGTAGTGTATACGTGTGTGTTTTGGGAGGCTGCGATATGTTCGTGATTGTCTCCTTGTGACAGCGCGGAACTGATGCCAACTTCATACATGTATTGCTACCTCACTGAAACATACTGCCGAAGACACCCAGCAGGACACCCCTACCGATCACATTATACTGACAACGGGCGAACCAGTCGTCCCACTCCTAAATTGCTGAGCGTTAAGCAGGAGTAAAAACTACCATTTTAACAGATTTCAGAACATTACAGTAGATTTTATTACAAATATATGACTCGAAAAAGTCAAACAATTAAATTTGCTCTTAAGTCATCTTTTGTTTTACTTCAAGTAATATATGGAGTTTATATTCTGTGTAGCCGCTGTGCTATATGCGTATCTAATTTACGTTCCTGTCGTATCAGAATCGTCCTCCTATGTAATTTTTACGTAAATAGAGATATATCTTCGTTCTGTCTTCAACCTAAATTGTTAAAAAATTGTATTTAGTATGAAGTTTCATTCCAAGAGTTACACTGTTATACGTGTCTGCTGAAACAAATCAGAAAAATAAAGGAGAGGTGTAGCTCCTGAACTCCAGTTACTGGTATATGGACCAGTGACCGAAACGTGCCACTCTGACGTCACAGGTACCACGTGACCGTCTAGCTCATTAACATTCTCGCCAGTGAGGAGAGGTCACCTTTGATTGCCTATATCTAGTTAACGGGTTCGTTCTGAACGCGCGGTAATGAATGATACGGTATTTATTCAAGTATATACATTTTTCTTTTACCAAATGTGAAAAATCGTGGACAAACCCCTTTTAAGAGAGCTATACAAGTGGTCATTGGTATCCACATTGTCCCACTGCACACATTCGCGTGCTAACATCAGAGGTCCATATGGCCGAGGTCGTGGCTTTACCAGAAACTTTGGCTAGACTTGGTCTGGTTGGCATAACATTTCATGAAGTTGAACAATGACCCTTCATTTACATAACTTACAATCTTGCCATTTAAAATGGATTCACATTCAAGTTTACGGTTATAAATTGTTCAATGTTCATTATATTTTAGTTCATTTTAGTATGCTTTAATCCGATAGGAGTTGAGGAGTTTGACTTTAGAATCTAGTTTCTAGAATATTGTCTTAAATATCTACCTGCGGACGCTCACTCCTATCAGAACCATAATTATTGACATAATAATTTAATTATGTATTTATGCAATTTTAACGAGCTTTGTCAAGGAGCACAGTTGATTAAGATCAGTAGTCTGAACGTCATATTCAATATCCGACCATACAAGGGTCCTTCTTTATGTATCTTGTTATTTTACGGTTTAGCAGTCGCAAATCTCATTTGAGGTGCGACCAGCTTATATTATAATAATATATCTCTGACACAGTTGCATTCAGCATGGGCAAGTCTATTCATTCTATGTATACATGTGTGGTGGATTTTGATCTTGTTAAATTTTGGTATTTACCCCCGATGCTGTTTGTCTTTTGGTCAAAAGTCCACTCCATTCAACATTTAGATAATTCCTCTCCGGTCCGGTTTGTGTGTACAATAAATTTTGTATGAACTAATACAACCTGTTCCTCGACTCCGGCCAACCTACTTAATATTATGTATGCAACATATATAATTAAAAATATAAATTGTATGTACGACCGGGCCTGTCATGGATGACCCTTGAACCACATCATTTGGGTAATATTGGACATATCGTCTCTTAAATACAGATTGATGTTTTAGGTTAACTATACATGTGATGGGACTTTCAATTTTTTATCATTATGGTCAAATGCGACATATAGTCTTTTTATACAGGTCGTCCCTGAGACAGGGTTGATTGTACGTAATAATACACATGTGCTTTGACACTGCACAATAGAAAATCCAAATAATAAGATTAATGTAAATGTGTTTATGACAGTGTAATCTGATCAATGAGATTGAATGCAGCAAGCTTATCAGTAACAGAATATAATATCTAAATTATGTCTTGTAATCAATATAGTATTAGGCTATAATAATCACTTAATATTATGGCTATATATATATGTCTGATAATGTCTCTGACATGACTACATTCAGCATGGGCAAGACTATTCATTTTAAATGATAATAATGCGTTTATACATGTATTATTTATATAGATTTTGGTATCTACCCTCGCTGCTGGTTGTCTCCGAGTCACAGATTTGAGTAAGTTGTATATATATGCCTGCAGCCTGTAAGTGTCCATAATTGGGTTCTTTGGGTGTTTTTTTCGGATTTGAGGGGGGATGTTAGCCCCTGTATTGTATTAATATTATTATTTTCTATTATTTTACTATTAATCAGCACTTGGACGATTTCCTGCCCATCACGTCAAATATTACCTGACTTTAGTTAAAAATAATGATGACCAAAAAAGCAGAACTAGAATGAGGATATCATCTCATAGATAACACAATGAGATACAGATACATGTACCATGGCACTCTCAGGGATGAAAGATTTTGAAAACAAATGTTTAGCTGCAGATACTATTTAGGATGAATCTCACTTTCTGTTTGTCTGTAGCAGTTTTTCTCTTGAAAGAGAGAGTCTCATGCTGAGTATCTTGTGATTTGCCTTGACTTTTAGTTTTTACCAAATACAGTAGTTGTTATTCCCTGTTTAAAGTTAAGTAGCAACAACTGAATAACCCGTTGCCAGTATAATTTGACCGGGCCGAATTCTGTGCTGGGTGCCTTCAGCATAGTGTTTCAGTGAATATCTTTTCTCTTCTTTCTAAACTTTGCTGGGAAGGTTCTGTAGAACAGATATGGAATCAAAATAGATTATTGACTTCAGTTCATTAAATGTGTTCAAAGGCGAGACAGACCGCACTGGCTTCAGCAGAAAAAAATTGATGCATCATTTGGTAACCGCCATCAAATAGCTGCGGTATTTCGATTCATCAGTATAGCATCAACTGCAGTTTCAAAGTGGTTTTAGGTCAAGAAGAGGTACACACTACCGTTTGGTTACGCTTGAATCCCCTGTACGGCTTTTCTAAAGATGGTGTATTTAGAAACTGTCTGCTTTGCTCTGGAAAAGACTAACGACACCAAGTGGAAATACAAAAAATCCTGAGATATCTACGTTAAATAGTTAAATAATTGATGAGTCCAAGAAGTCATCCCGATAATCAACAATATGATAGTGAGAAGTCTGTTTTTCAAAACCAAAATATTCAATTCGATACCTTTGTAACGCCACTGTTGTGTTTACGTTGTTTACGTTGTTCATACTCAGGACTATCTTTAATTGTTATTGTGTTCCCGAGCATCGTTGGCTCGTTTTGTTAAATCGGACATTAGTCGATAATTGCTTTATTGTAAAGTGACGTCACAGTCGTATAAATATAGGCCAATGTTTACATTAGAAACCGTAACGAACTTCGGTGAGATATTATTCCTACTGCTAGAATTGAAACAAATAAGGCTTATTGTTGAGTATTTACATGTCCGATTTACTTTTGTAAGTCAGTATAATTGTTTAACTGAGCTATATTGGAAGTCTTAGTGCATAAGTACAGAACAAGAATGAGATACGTTGATATTGACTTGTATTAATCTTATTTATCTTGCAACTTTATATTTTCACATTGCGTGGATGTTAACCAATCAGATTAGAGTCCCGGCACGTGAATTTCTCGTGAGTCCCGTTATTTTCAGGATATTGCTAAACATCGGGAGTCACGACTCAACAGCCGGTGAGTACACGCGGTTATAAGAACTCGGAACCGCTAACCAGGTCAGAGTTTGATTCACTTCCTACATTTCATAGGGGAAAAGCCTATTTGGGATTTCCCTGTAATTACTTTATGGTAAAGAGAAGTCAAAGTCGTATAAATGTAGGTGAAAGTTAACATTAGAAACCGTAACAAATTTCAGTCAGATATAATTCCTAATGCTAGAATTGAAAGAAATAAGGCTTACCATCTGCTATAAGAAAGTCAAATCCATGTAAATACCACCCTTTATTTATTCATTTGCCATGATTATCTGCTTGCTTAATGTATAACATTGATTGTAATGTATTGTTTTTTTGTTTCGCAATAATAACAAATTA